TGTGAGAACTGGCTACACCACCACTGTGTAGGTGGAGCTGATTAGATGGACCTGAATCAAAAAAAAAAAGGAACATTTCCTACATTTCCTTTGCTGCATGGTGAGAAAAGCTTTTCCTGTGTCACTGCAGGAGAAGACAATTCAAAAATAACAGCAAAATTGCTCCTCACTTCCCCACTGAGCCAGGTTACTAGCAAGAGCACTTTGGGGTTTATATATAATTCCTCCACAGCTTCACTGCCGGGCAACAAAGACGTAGGACCAGGATGGCCATAGGTTCACACAGGCTGGCAGAGGTTAAAGAGACCCAGGCACTACAGTACCAGAGGTGCCCACTTCTCTGCATGCTGCCACCAAAAACCCCCTCACTGTTCCTCTGCCGTCCCATCTTTAAGCAGCTCTGGTTTACCCACCTGCCTGGCCCTACCTGGGACACATCTCCCGAGGTCCTTCACCATGGAGACCTCTATCCAAAACCAGCCAAAGCAAGGCTGCTGTATTTCAACAGCCCATTCCACTCACCGGCACAAATGATGAGGGCACCTGGCAGGCAGCAGACCTTCTTCCAATCCTCTGGGGCCGACGTGGCTGCCTCTCAGGTGAGCGACCCAGGGGACAACATGGCCCTAGCTGGCCAGTTTGGTACGTTTTGTACAAACTGGAAGTTTCCACTAGAAAGATCAGTGGCTTCAAGTCCATGAAGCAAATCAAAGCAGGCTGTGAAAGAATGTCTGCTTGGACATCTTGCCAAAGCAGGTGGTGTACTGGCAGAGTCATAGAATCATTTAGGTTGGAAATGACTCTGAAGATCACCGAGTCCAACCGTAAACCTAACACTGCCAAGGCCACCACTAAAACACGTCCCTAAGCACCACATCTACAAGTCTTTTAATTATCTCCAGGGACGGTCACTCCACCACTTTCCTGGGCAGACTGTTCCAGAGACTGACAACCCTTTCAGTGAAGAAATGTTTCCTAATATCCAATCTAAACCTCCCCTGATGCTACTTGAGGCCATTGCCTCTCGTCCTATCACTAGTTACCTGGGAGAAGAGACCAACACCTGCCTCACTACAACCTCCTTTCAGGTAGTTGTAG